ATTATTGGATGAGAAAAGCTTCTATGGAATCTCAAATGCATACATCCTTAATTTTATCGTGGGTTTTCTATCGCGTTACACGCGTTTCGTGACCATGAGCTCCAGATTGATCAAATTACTCTTCATGTCCTCTCCCATTCATGTGACACGCACCCGAAGTAGCACGAATCTAATCGAGGAAGGCTGTCCCAGCAATTTCGTTATCGCGCTCTCCTCGATAAAGTTGAAAAATTATCATGTTTCACGATTTTTCGTTCGCAATCGAGGTATAATTTTAAATCTTTCCTAAAGATTTCTCGTTACATTTGCATACTTCTTTCTTTCGTGTTTGGGCGAAGAGATAAATTACGAAATTGCGAAGTTAAGTCTTTCGTGACAGGTTACATTTCTCATTTCCACATTGCCGGTCGCCACAAAGCTTCCCTTCGCTCCGTGACGATTACGGTGGCTAGAGCGAATGAGAGGGAGACGATCACTTTTACGACGTTACCGCGAATCCACCCGTTCGCTGAGTTTTGGGGTGAACCACGCTTGCGCAAGTCCGGCAAGGTACCGAGCCAGAACGACGTGCAACAACCATGAGAGCTTTAGTTTTCGCCAGGTCCTCGTCGTGGAAAAAGGGTCGCTCACGGGTGAGAGGCGCTCTCATTGTATTTTAATTACCCTCGTGATGCTATAGTTACTCCTAGGAAGGACGGAAGCGATGAGCACGTGCTTCGATCCGTAGATCGTTCATCATACGTCGCCCATCCGAAATCATAGGAGCCGGCAAATTTGGTGCTTTAACATATCGCGAGCTGCTCACGAATGAGAGTGAAAGCGCAAGTGTTGCATGCGGCTGCTTTTGCTCTTCATCACGCGACATGCAGAAACGATAGATTTCTATCGGAAACGTAACGTGATTCGTGACTCACTTCTGTGTCGATCTCGCAAACGTAAAATTTAATTAGCTGTAAATTAATAAAAATTGCATCAGTAGTTACAAATACATAGTTGGCGTTTTTTCTGTGTTGTTTAAGTGCTCTTGAGAGCTTCTAGGTGGAGCGTGAAAACTGTGCACTTACGAATTTAGATCACGTTGCACTTTCTGGAACTTACCGGCAATTGGATTCTGCTGATCCGTTTATCGTTACGCGAAGTTTTCACGAAGGGCCACGTGCGGTGTGCGCGAATGGAGGGAAAAACGGATTTGTGACAAAGAAGTCGTGGGTGGTGCATAACAACTAGTGAAGTTTCTAGTAAATATATGGCAACATTCAGTGTGGCGGATCGTCATGAGATCGTCGAGAGAACTTCCCGGAATGTTTCCGATCGCGTTCTTTCCATGAACGTCTGTCCGCCGAGCAGCTTCCCGGATAAATTTCAAGATTTTTTCGCGGCGCTTACCGAAGACGGCGACGATCTACCCAGCATGCTTGAAGACAAACTAATACCAAGGTAAATATGGCAAGTATTTTTTAGTAAAGAGTTTATTTAGTAAAGGCTTGTCTAAATTGTAAGAAAATATATGTATAACACTCTCTCTCTCTCCTCTCTCCTCTCCCTCCCCCTCCCTCCTCTCTCTCTTTCTCTCTCTTTCGCGGAAGACGGCAACAAGTAGTTCTATTTCAAAGCGGAAAGGGTAAATGAGAAAACGTTTTTTGTAAGAATAATTAAAAAAAAGTAAAAGAGAAGAGAAAGAGAATATTGACATACATAAATTGGTTGTCAGTCAGAGCAAAAAACAATGTTCATGTTATTCGTTGAAACATAAAAAACTTAATTAACTATAAAACAAAGCTATATTCATCCAGATTTATAAAGCAATTGTCAATTAGCAACGAAAACGATATTAAAATATTCTTACTGAGGCGTTAAAGACTTAATTAACTGCTAAACGTCGAAATTAGTATAATTAAATAATTATAAATAGAGCATTATGGGCGTTGATCAGATTAGAATCGCTAATGCGATTAAATAATAATAGATGTTGTGTAATACTGAAACAAGAGATAATTGAAACATGAAGCTTATTTTAACCATTACAAATCTCAACATTGTTATTTGCAATTTTAAAAGTTTCGTTAATCTTTCAAAATATATGAACGTTTTAACTTTTAACGAGCGAAATATATATGAAATTCGAGTCATTTGAACGATTTGAAAGTTTGCGAACTCAATAATACTTTAATATCATAACATAATCCAGCAACTTTATCTCGAAATCATATTTCTCAATTTGGGGAGAGTAATCCGAACTGTTGTACACCGATGTTGTACTGGGGTTCGTGGCACGTGACAAACACGCGTAGGAAGTCTTTAGTATTGGTTGAAGTCATTTGAGATTCTCGCAATTGGATTAATTAGATTTGTCGTGGGACAATTTTACGCTAATCTCTGCCGCGGGTAACGAATCAATCTTCTACCGAAACTGGGTTTAATGCGAGGAGCGGAAATAGAGCAGTTATACGCAAAGAAAATCGATAGCGCAATGCGTGTGTAAAAATAGGATTATACTGCTCCGAAAATTGCTACGCGAAACCAGGGAACGTTGTGTATCCGGGGGTATTCTTAGCTGCGTTCGGAAATCCGAGTGCCCCTGTATATCATCTTAGCTTTGTTTGACATTGGACGAACAGCAAGGATACGCGGGGATACTCGGGTGATGTTTTTCGAATGTAGTCCTTGTCTCTGCTAAGCCGGAAACTTGCAGAAAGCCGGAAACTTGCAGAAAGCCAGACAGCATGAGCGTCGAAGGGAAAGGCCGACGCTGGAACAAAAGGGCTTTCCAAAGGCGGAGCAGCGAAGTCGAGGTCCGCGTTCAACACACCTCGCTGTCCGGATCTCAGGGTCACAGCTGCGTGGATGGACCGAAGTCACCGACTACCTCGAGACGTAGAAGCTCCAGCATTGCAGTTGCCAGACCCACGCCGGACTTACACAGGTTGTCTTCTCGTAAAAGTGATTCATTGTTGACTAGTATAGTCCGCTTGACGTCCGCACGGCAATCAATCTGTCCAACGAGCGTTCAAATATAATCCTTAGCGTCTTAAATTCGGGACCGATTACTGACTCTGGAGCTTTTCAGCGAATCGCGGAATTGTAAATTGATTGAAAAGTTTCGGATTTATGCGAGGACAGGATTACACCACGACGCGGCACGTGCCTATGACAGCGTTTTATTTTCGTACGGCAGATTTCTGCAAGCGGAGGCTGGTCCTTGGGGTCACCTATCGCCGTCGCCTAGGAGCCCGACCAGAACACCCTCGCTGAGTCCTGGTGCCGCGTCATCGTCATCGCATCTAAGCGCGAACGCGAGTCCAAGCGGTCCCAGTCCGACGAGTCCTTCCAGTTCGACTGGCTTGGCATCCGGGATTCGTGGAGGTGCCGGTCCCAAGCAGTATCGCAGCAGAACTAGCAGTATGCCGGCGGTCCCACGTCACAGAGTAAGAATATATGGGATAAAAAATCGACCTCCTGAAATTTTCAGTAAAGAAAATCTACACGGAAAAAACAGAATTTGTTAAAACAACTAAAACTTCACTTATATTATTAGCGATTATAGGTAATCATATTTGTTGTAATAGCACAGCAGATCTATTAATACAGCAAAGATATTTTTCTATAACAATCAATCCTGCCTATAAATCAAAATTTTTAACAAAACATGCTACACTGAAAAAAAATTTAAGAAATTTGAATAAATATTTGTTTAAATAATACCATTTGCTTACAGAAACTAAATATTTATTCGATTTTTAAAAATGATAAATAAATTATATTTAAATTAAGTATAATTTTCTTGAATTGAACAAATATTTATTTATTGCAAGTAAATGATCCCATTGGTACTATTTAAACAAATATTTATTCAAATTAGGTGAATTTTTTTTTCAGTATAGCTAAAATGGCTAAAACTGCGTGCGTACTTTTGCTGCTATAATGAAGGAAACTCGTTTCATTAGCAATTTTTATTATAACAAAAAATTAACTGAATCATCATACTGATAATTACTTGACAAACATAATTTCTTAAATCATCAAATCTTCTAACAATAGATGCTAAACTCGCGCGAAATAAAGATACAGCTTTGCTGAACCACAATCTATTTTTTTCCGTGTATAGAGATAACCTGCGTATTCTCTCATCATAAGAGGAAGGGTAGAGAGAAAAATAGAATAGGAGAGAATAATTTATAACAATTTGTGAATCCAGTGAAGAAGCAAATATAGCGGAATGCGTAACGATGAGCCTCATGTATGTATACATATTGTACATAGATCGATGGCGCACGTGGCTGAGTTAATTTCCTCGGCCATTGTGAAAGATACCGCGAAACCGTGGCTGAAAGACTTTCTCTGTAAAGATGAACACACATAGAAGTAAAAGTAAGCAGAAAGCAGTAAGCTTGCAATAAGACGTAAGACCGCCATCTTTCATATGTATAGATATACTGGCAGGCAATGTTAATTGCCTACTTCGTACGTCTTACTGCTTGCTGCTTACTTCTACTTCTACTTCTATGTGCGTTCACTTTAACGATGACGGTGATTCACTCGTATTGAAAAATGAAATAAATACGGAGTGCGTAAATTCCGCTAAACAGTGTACGGTAGAAACACACAATAGAGCTGGGAACATCACCCTTTCCGAATTTCATCGATATTCCATGTAACGCAATCGCGCTGAAAATGAAAAATCGGAACGACGAGGTGCCTGGAGAAACGATGGCTTTTCTGCGTCATTCATTAACTCTTCTTTTCATTTCCCTGGAAACTGCAGTTGACGTGTCATTACGACCGTTGAGACTTAAAATTCTGCGAACTATCAATTTGCAAGTGTTAGAAAAATTAATCATTTAAAGTATATAATTTATTAAAAAAAAAAAAAAAGATTATTTTACCTTTTTATTTCAAGAGAAATATTTTATTAACGAACTTTAATTCTTAATAATTTTTTATTAATTCTCACACAGATTCACAGTTTCTACATAAAAGAAAAATTCAATTATATCCCTTGTTTGATACGTGGTTGATCGATCGCCGGCCAGATTTCACAACCACTAACGTGCAATAGACAATATATAAAGGATATCACAAATCCGACATGCAAAATTCGTCGTAGACTAATTGTAAGATTCGTGAGCTTAAGCCTCGACGTTGAGTGCCAGTCCCACTCTGTGACCACCTCTGGTGACATTCGCGCAGTCTATGTTGAACGAAAGGATCAGTGTGACACCGTCGCTGATCTTTTGTAGGAGACTTGTGGCTAACTGAAGATCAGTGTTGAATTTGAATCGCAGAGTCGACCTCTCGTCGATCTTGCACTTCGCCCCAGCGCCGACTGTCCATTTTTGCACGTCGCCTCGTTTCGCGTATATGCCGTTTGCCGCGATGTCCAAGTCGCGCCTCGCTGAAAAGCAGATAAAGTATCACGATTGGTAAAACGAAGCGATAAATTGAGAAATACTCAAACATTTTGATTTGATGAAAAATACACAAACCGGATTATTATTATCATCGTTATTGTTATTATTATTGTTATTATTATTAGAAATATCGTCCTGAAAACGCAGCTCTTATTAATTAACATCTCAGATAGCAAAATGCTAGCATATGCGCCAGTAAATTCAATCATAATTATAGAGAGCAGATTTCTATGTACTGAATCTTTTTTAAAGATTTTTACTATTATAATGTGCCAGTCAATTAACATAATCACAGAAATGCAGCAAGAATGGAGCATATTTTGCTATCATAATATATAGATAATATAGGGTCTGCTCATTTTCTGATACACTGATAACTAAAAAAACAGCAGACTCTCTGTTCGGCTGTTCCTGGAGATACTAAAATAATATTATTTTTACAATAATGGCACAATTTAAAAAACAAAATTATCCAGAAAATGAATTTTAACATTTTAAAGCGTTAAAATTTTGTAACATTGATTTTAAAATCCAATTTTGGAGTATAATAATTAATTGTAGAAGAATAAAAGTTATTTTATGTTCTTTCTTTCTTTTCTTTGTGTTTCCGTTCTTTTTCTGCAAGCAACTAAAGAATGGCAATTTTTTAGTTATGTCGTTGTAGTAAGTGAGCGATAAGTAACATAATTTTGCAATATATGCTCTTGACACAGGTTTAGCTATCTGGGGTAATTAAAAGTTACGTTTTAAGCATATAATCCGATTCTAAGCGAGGTCATCGACATGTAGCATTACGTAATTTCCCACGTAATCCCGATGATGTCAGTTTACGGTCTGAGCTTTGTTGTACATACGTCAGTATGTCACCATTACGCAACGTTGTCACGGACTCTCTACACGCTAACGTTACTAATTATCGCCCTCTCTACCTTCGTCCTCCCAATTCCCTCGAGAAAATTGATAACGCTGCCATGACGTGAGCCGATATGTGCTAAACGATTTGTATTACACGTATTCCGCCTATCTGAACACAGGAGCGACAGGATCTCATTACGCTCGTCTAAGACAGGCACGTTTAATCCCCCATTTACTTAACGTGGGAAAGACGGCGGTAATTTAGCAGTTCCGTTCTAGTTGACGACGACGTCGCGATTTCGCGACGCAAGAGGCAATGAATAATGGGAGGATATTACGAAGAAGACTGAAATTACTCTGTTGTCACGAGGATGATTATTCTCCCGTCGGCGACGTCGCCGTCGGCGGTTTCAAGGGAACATCGCGCGGGGGTCGTTTATGGGAAAATCGCGTCATCTTTATCGCGAATCTTTCAACTTTTACCTTTGTACAACACGGAGAGCCCATACACGTGTGGTATACAGGTGCACCGAAAGTGCAGGTCAATGTCGGGGCAACTATAAGCGACACCGACGTCGTTTTTCGTTATCCTGTTCGAGGCCGTGTCGTAGCCACCCTGGTAGCCCAGAAGCAGATCCCGGCATTTCACCACCACCGAGCCGAGCAAATTGCTACCCGAATCCAAATCGTTGGCTGCAAACAAGAAATCTAGTAATTTCGACGATTCAACATGTGATACTATCGGATTGCTCACAATGTAACCGAGTACGGGCGGAAAAGATACGGGATGATTTCCGCGTTTTCTCTATCTCGAAAAATAAAAGAGAATCTAATTCTTCCGTTTATCGAAATTTAATTAGACGCAAAAAAAGCTGTCGCTATCGAAATTCCTGAAATTTAATTCACCCGTCTTTCCACGCGCGTCTATTTACAATGCGTTTTAGTTTGCTAAAAAAAAATGCAAAGGCAACAAACTCTTCCTTCGAATATGTTTTCGTATCGAACGTGACTGCCTCGTGCGACAGCGTGGTTGTCCACAAGCTTCCGGAAGTGCTCGTATCGGTCGCCATCACGGAAACTTATGTTCACGGAAATTGCCGCGACTTGTTAGTAAACATTCGGGGTGCGGTTCCGCTATTGTTCCTGCGAACTTTGCGTGATATTGGAAAGGAGTTTGCCCGGGGAGAAGGAATTATTTATTAAAGTTTCCCTCTGTTACGAAGCGCGAGACAAGGGAGAAAGTTTGAAACGAATTACTCGAGAGAGGACTATAGCGAACTAAATACACGTTTCTTTCGTTTCTGTGCGAGTTTGATTTTATATTAAATTTCTATATTCATTTCATATAAAAGAGCATCGGAAATATCACTTGCCGTTGCCGTCTCTGAAATAATTAATTAGACATGACGGGAGAAGAGGGGTGGAGGAAGAGAGATTTACTGTAGAAAACTCGTCGCTCTCCAGTAATTTTTTATATTCGATGTTTTTACTATTTTACGAACGGAGTATTTAATTACGGAAATGCCTCTTGTATTTCGTAATATTAGAAAGTAGTTGATTTTGTGTAAAAAGAACACGTGCCACTTTCTATATTTAATATTATTAATACGTGTACTTTTGCAGTAATTGTTACATGTGAAGTAGATACTTTTTAACGGCTTAGTTTTATTTTATGTTTTTAATAGATTTTTCCGGACGAGGCCGGTAAAAGGTTTGGACTACGGTATATAATTAGTCTTCTTCCCTTAGACAAGAATACGTGAACACAATATGTGAAGCCCTTTTATCCATCATTCAAACAGCGCCCTAGCCAAAGCCGTTACCTTGCGAAACTTTATAAATAGAGGATGAATTTGTTCTGTGAATTTTACCGCTCGTACTTCGTACACAGGGAAGCCCGGTAAGTCCGCGGGCATTATTGAACGAAGCGATTAACATTCAAGAGAATGCGATCATGCACGCCTTCAAACGCGAAAGAAATATGATGCGTAAAGTTAATTAGGTTTGAGGAAATTAACGTGACTAACAGATCTCGCAGCGTGCGTTGATTCTCTTGTTGATGAACTTCGAGCCGACTTTCACGCTTTTCGCAGCCGTTTCCGGATTGTAAGAGCACTCGGAGAGCAAATCAACGCCCTTCATTAGCAGCCCATTAAACTCATATCCCAGGAAAAGCACACCATCGGTCGTCCATTTTAATAGCAGAGCTCCAGCATTCGCCTTGTACTTCGTCTCCATTAATCCGCTTAACTATACATTAATTCATTATGAATAAATTATCCAATTTTCTGCCTTGCTTTGAAACACCCAAGTAAACCCAATAAGATACCCAAGATATTTAATTTAAATATTCAGTTAATACAATTCTGATGTATTATTTTATATTGTTATTGAAATACATGTGATGTCCATATAAATTGATCATACGTGATTTAATAAAGATAAATTACGTTTATCCAAAATTTATTAATGTTAATAAATCTTTTGTATGCATCAAAATATTGTTGTATAAGTATAATTTGTATAAAACAAAAATCCATTACAGTTTTCCGAGTTTAAAGCAACAGTTGTTGCGAGTTCGAATTCAGTGACACGCGTATATCGTCTGCATAATCCGATATGTATTAAACGCAAATATTGCCGCTTGAATTAGTTGATTCAGCTATGTTTCCATGCAAAATTTTTCGCAAGATAAAGCGATCATCCGCACCATTCGTTTGCTTTTCCCACGAATAATTAACAAAATAATAAGTAAATATTGAGTGATATCGTTAATGTAGATAAAATGATCAAAATTTAGTTATTATGGACTTAAAAATATCTGAATTAAGGAGAGAGAGGTATACATATAATGATTCTCAACCTTTGACACTTCGAAATTCAACGTTGTATCACTCGTCAGCTGGAACCTTTTGGCGAATTTGGTCTTAATATTGAATTTGATAAGACCTTTGCCATGATGATATCCCGTCTTAAAAACGTCTCTTGCGTTTTTCCCAAGATCTGCGAAACTCGGTACTTCCATTACGAATTCAGTATGTTGTGAGATAAATTATATTCGTGCTACAATGTTAAAAAAACACTAATGGAGTACATTTTTACGGATATCATTACAAAAGTTTTCTCGATTAATTAGTTTTAATTATCTAAGTCGAAAGACTCGAAATTACGTGTTTCGAATTTATATATAATTGTGTTATTTTTAATTTATTTTTAACAAATTTATTTATAATCCTGTAAATATTATTATTAGGTTAATATTATACAATACTATATTTAATTAACCACATAGATATATTTAATATTCTATCTAGACTGAGGATAATTCCAATTTGACTCTCACGTTTTATCTTCGTCGGGTCGTGCCTTCTTGTTTTGTTAAGCGACTTCGGACTCAGCAAATTGAAGCTGAGGTGTAATTCGAACATACGTGAAGGGTCTTTGTAATGAAAACATGGTTGATGTTAACTTCTCGTGAGAAGTAAGAGGACGAGAAAATTAATATTGCGATTTCTACAGAGCGACGTGATCGATATATATTTCTCAAGCTTCACCATGAGTTTCTCATTACCGTCAAAGAAATGAACTTGATTGGGAAAGAGCATGTGAGACAGATTCAAACTATCGATGTTCACAAATCGACGTTCAATTAAATTTCTGCATTCACGTTGTTCACAAGCGGACAAATGGAACAATGGAACGCGACAATTATGTCATCGGATGTGTTTCGCATCGATTAGTGAACATATTAGGATTCACCGCGACCCTAATACCCCACTCGAGAACGCATCGCGTATTTCTGCCACCTTTTCGCTCCGTTTCGTAATTGCGAAAGACAGACGAGCATATCTACATGTCGATGGCGTGCCCGCCGCTCGGTGAAATTTACAGAACTTTATACATCGATTTATGTCACGTAGCTCATGATTCAATCAATAAATGTCGGCAAATCGCGTCGAGATGTTACGGGCAACATAGGATCTGTCGATTAATGATGATGTTTGCGAATGATGGGATTATTCATTTTCAGGTTGCGTTCCGAAATTCACCGTTTAAATGCTGAAAATCTAAAGTGCACGTAACGTATGTTGTAAATTTTCAGTACTGACAGTAAGTGAAGTATCGAAATGCAGTGTATTAGAAATTGTCTCTCGTTTATACGTTGGAACATATAATACTTACGAGGAAATACAGAAAAATATCTCTCCGATTTTAATGAGCAATAATACGTCGCAATCTAGGTCAAAGTAATGAATACGTATTTTTTTTATATGTGGTCATATGCACTTTGGGAGTAAACATTCAATCGGTTAGTTTCTTTCGAAGCAAAACTATAAGAGATGGAAATATTTTTTTAAATAAAAGTCGAATAGCTTTAAAAAGTGTTTTATAATAATAAATCTTAATTTTTTATTTTTTAAAGGCTTTTATTAAAACTTTTTTTTTATTATTATAAAACCCACACAGCAGATGTGTCCAAAATACATCATAGAGGTATCTTAAACATACATTTGGGATATATGATATTTTTAGAATATCTCTCTGATGTATTTCGGATATATTTCTGTTGTATGGAAATACTCTTGAAATCATTCATTTTTTTCATATTTTATAGTTTCGATGCTATTCGCTTCAAAAGAAAATAACGGATTTTCTTGAAAGGGTTGTTTTATGTGTCATACTTTTAGAAGATAAAACGTATGAGTACGTATAAAAAAATACGTGTTTCTTATTTTAGTCTATAAAATTACAACAGATTAAAAGCTTTAAAATCAGAGCGGATTTTCTGTATTTCTTTGTCAAAATACTATACCGAAAAAGATTTAAAATCAGAATGAAAATTTTAATGATTTCCAGAACACTTCTCTTGTTAGAACTTTGTTGAAAAATTTAAAATCAGAAGAATTAGAATAAAAATTTTAAGTTCCCACGATTTCCAAGCTGTCAAATTAAAATTGGCTTCCTCCAAGAATCTACATATAGATACAAAGTCTGTTTTTCATCCCTTCACTAGACTGCACTAGGACTCTCTTTCTCGTTTTCGCCAAGTATCAAACATATTATGGCTGTGTTCCAAAATTCACTGCTAGCGCTGAAAATCTACAGTTTACGTTACGTATACTATACATTTTCAGCACTGGCAGTGAATTTTGGAACACAGCCACTGATCTCACTATAAGTTCCAAAAGTGAACTAGTTCAGCCACAGAAAACGGACCAATAGAGACTCGTCTAAATGATACGGACAAACTAATTGTTATTATTTATTGCAGCCGATGCTGGTCGATACAAGACGCGGGGGTGGTGTAACGGGGTGTGAAGAAGGTGAGACAGAGGACGGCATTGAGTATTATAGACTTCGGTCTTTCTCCATAACGGCAAATGGAGTGAACAACTTGGGGGATTCGTTGAAGACACGTCGCAGCAGAAGCATCAACAGCGTTACTTCCTCTACCAGCTGCTGTAGCAGCACCCGGGAGAGCAGATTACTCAGGTAAGAATAAACATACGTCGAAAGTGCGATAAATCTCGCTTACAACATCGATCCTCACCGGAACGCGCGGCCGGATACTGACTTGAAACTCGAGCTTTCCTCTGAAATAATGATTTTGAAAATATGCAGAGAAATAATTACGTATATAATTCGATCGAAATGTCGAGTAAACGAACGACTCGTTTCATTTTGCAATTACGTATTATGAAATTGCAATATGTGCAGGGCTGGAGAGACATGTAATAATATTTCAAATACTTTTATTTAAAACATAGTATTTGAGGTGCAAGTGTATTTTGTATTTTGGATTTCAGCGGAGCTGTGAATATGAAAGTATTATGTATTTCGTATTTAAAATTGAAAGATTGAAAATTTTTTTAATTTTGTAGTTCAAATATAAGATTAATTGTCTCACTAAAAATAAGAAATATGCTTACAATCTTTTGTTACTAATACTGAAATAGCAAATACAAAATACTTTACTTATATACTTCTATGAAATATAAAATACAAAATATTTTCATGTACTCCGCTGAAATACAAAATATAAAATTTGTCTCAAATGCTGTTTTTTAAATAAAATGCTCAGCCCTGAATGCGCGATATGTCGGAATCATATCATAGTATTGCGCGTAACGACTGCATCCTCGGCTTACAACTCACTACTATTCTCGCGAAGAGAACAGCCGCCAGATTAAACGAAGATAATGATATCTCTTTCGTGTTATCGCTCGCGAATAATAATAATAATGAGGGTTATAAAAGAATGCGACTAAAGCTCAATGGCTGAACATTATAATTAGACGTTTTTATCTCTATAATGGTATATAAATATAACGTAAAAGTATAACATGCGACCGCAAAAGAGAGAAAGGAGAGGGACACTGGACAATAATTCCACGTGGTACACGTGCGGACATTGATGCTCCCCCGCATTTTCATCTCCATTCTGGGCTCGGGCTGTTTATTTTCTCCTTCGAGGGCTTCACCGCATGCCGACATTGTCAGTTTAGAAAACAAAGAAAAACACGTCGAATGTTTTCCCTTGTATGACTTTACGTAAAACACAGGTTGCCCGTTGGCCAAACCATGATACGGCTCTCGACTTGTTTGTGTCCGAAGAAAAACAATATATGCAAATCGGAGAAATAACAGAGGTTTTTCGTGACGAATTAAAGAGTCTTTATGTAAACAAAATGTAAAACAAAATGTAACAAAATGTAAAAAGTGGCAAATGTATTGTATGCGATAATTATTTAATAATTAAATATAATAATAATTGTCTAATTATTATAATTGTATATATATCTATAATAATTATGTACTATGTCCGTTTCATATGCAAATATGTGCGTAATTGTTTCTTAGTAGAAATACTATTAGAAATATAGAAAACTTCTTCAAAGAAAAATTTCTTTATTCTGATGTGTATATACATAATGATATAAACTTATTTAACCCTCAACTACATGAGTGGATCATTTGGATCCGGGTGAAAATTTTAATCGGCCGCAATTTTTGTACGGTTAATATTGCAGAGTTGAAGTGAGGGGGTAAAAAAACTTGGAATCTTTTTCTGTCTATCGCCGTGATGCAATTGTTTCGTTGTTGTCTTAATACTAATTGCGATACAATAAAAGTTTAGCTTGGGTGACTTGGATCCGTCAAATGTAAATTCGAGAGATTTTTGCCGAAAGTGAAAATTCGTTTTTAATAAGTGCCTGCTTATTAGTGCTGTATTCAAGTATATGTACTGTCTTCTTATAATTAAAACATATATTCATTGTCAAAAAAAGCATTTTTGTGAGAGAAGCGTTTTGGCGAAATCCCTCTATTTTCTCGGAATTATAAAATCGTGAGTAAATAATGTCGAAATCATTATATATTTAATATAAAATATTTTCATTGCATTAAAGAAGAAAATACCCGACATACCACCGATATCATTAATCCAAGCATGTATAAAAATGCCTCCATTTTACTCGTGCAAATAATTCTACTTTTTGGAATGAATCAATATAATTTTTCTTCTTTTTATTTCTTCTATTTTTTTTTCTTAAAGTTCACATTTTCCCCTTTTTAAAATACTACTTATTTTTATTTGTATCTTTTTTTATCTTAAAGATATGATTTAAAAAAAACTGATTATTGCAATTTTTTTACAAATTGTTCTTTATTATTCTTTGGCATAATTTTTTCAATTATTATCAAAACCTTTTTATGTTTTGATATTTTGATATTGTGGCATTTCATTAGAAAAAGAAAATATATTTCCCATTGAAATTTGTGATAATTACAGAACCAGTCAAAACCGCCGTGGGTGACTTGGACACAGACATGTAAATTAATACTCTAAAACGAGACATGTAAGAGTTATAATCCTACATCACTTTTTTTTAAAGATAATTTAGAAGTCTCCCTTAGTTTTTTAAATCGAACATTATATTTGTTTTAACATAATGTTACAAGGTATTTTATATAGTCATTAAATTTGTAGATCTTCAGAATAAAATAACTATGTCTGATAAATTTATATTCTATTAATTAATAAAATAATTACATGTTAACATAACAAACAAATAAAGTACGAGATAATAATAAAATGTCATTATTATATCAATTAATAATTCGTATGATTTGGATAAACTCTAAATATGGATTGTGCAGTAAATCAGAAATTGCCTGTGGAAATTATTTTGCTTTGACGACAAGTTGATATTTGCCCACTCTAAATTTATCGCCGGTAACTTCTATTTGGAATGATCATCTCGGAGATTCGAGTTGATCCTCTTGCTTGGTACTCGCGAGCAGATTCGATACGTTTTTCCGCTTGATTTCCGTCTCGCCCGTGGTATCAGTAAGGTATTCGATTACTCGCCAACTGCCGTATGAGTGCCATGCAGAACTTAGGGTAATCGCGACAGCACGAGAGCTTCAATTAAGGTACCTTAATTGCCTTCAGATAATTACACGGCGCGTAGACTGCATCCTGAGTGGGTGGAGAATCAGAGTAGACTGTAAAGACTGTAAAGAGAGTCCGCGTTCCGACTGTTCTCTTAAAAGAGATTAAAGGCATTTTATACCTGTATTTAGGCCGATTTAGAAT